ATATTTTGTTATGTACACCCTGTGACCAGCTCTCTTTTGATTATGGTTTATAGCTGTGAAATGAACTAATATACAGTTTCAAGATTTGTATGTACATTTGATCCACATATTGGATTTAATCCTATCTTTTTTTGCTCACTTCTCTCTCCTTTAGCTCTATAGTTGGATCAAAATATTTGGTCCATTAAAAAAAAATAAAAAAAGTTAACATATATTCAATATTCAATATTCCTTTTTTGGGTGAATTACAACTAACCCCTAAAGTAAGTCCAAATTACAAAAAAACCCTTTTTGATTGGGTAATTGCAACCACCCATTCAACTATGTGTGTCAAATTTACTTACTAAATGAGAGTTTTTTTGGTAAGAAAGTACATAGTTGAGGGGTTGGTTGTAATTACACATACAAGATGGGTTTTTTCGTAATTTTTTTTTTAATTTTTTATTTGTAATGAAGGAATCCGCAGCCAACCGTATTTGTGCACTAAGTAAACCTCCACTCTGGTAAAATAACTTGCAAACCATACAAAAGACGTAATTTTTTTTCGTAATTTGGCCTAACCTCAGGGCGACGGTCGTAATTTGCGCTCCATTTTTTTAAATGGTTTCTTTTCCAATGAAGTTCCCCATTGAGGACAAGATTTAGTCCTGTATCATTCATGACAACTGCAGGTGAGTATCTGTACTAGATAGGTATCAATAGATTTTTTCTGTTTGATTCTTTTTTTTTTTTTTTTTTTTTTTTTTTAAAATCATGTTTAAAAAGAAAGGTGAAAAAAGACTAGTGAGCTGTGTCAGCAGCAGCTTCCACCAAACAAAATAAGAAGAAACAAATTGAAAGAGGAGTACAATGATAATTGATCAACAGTGAAAATACAAAGGAAAGACAAAACTCAGTTGCACTATACCATTATTTATTTTTTGGCTGTTTGTAAATTCATGATTGCTCTTTTTTGCTTTCTCTTCCCACATGTTCTGTGATTCACAATGCATATATGACTTTGACATCACTATGTAAGATGAAGGTTGTTTTGCATTACCAGTAAATAAATATTTTTACTGCGGTCTTTTTTCACCTTTACTTTCACTCATAACTCATCATTGCATCTTTCTCTCTCGAAAGCTACCGTTGTTGTTAGTGACGGAATTCGAGAGAGGTCGGTGAGATTTTGTAGGACATCAGACGCTACCAGTTGTCCTGAAACGAATTGATGTCAGGAAAGACGGAGACTCTATTCTTATAGTGCATTCAACACGCACAAGCGCCCACGACATTCTAGTTGATGAGTTTGGGTTGATTTTAAGTGGAGTAAGTTACGGCCACTCCTGAGGTAAGACTAAATTACGAAAAAATCCCTCATCTTTGGGTACTTACAACCACCCTCCTCAACTATGAATCTTCTTATAAGTTCACATTTGTGGTTATGCAGCACGAATACGGAAACGGCGATACCGGGAAACGAGAAACGGATATGGGGAAACTTCATGCTCTGAAAATAGGGATACGGGAACATGTAAATATTAAAAGTATATGGTGTATTTGTAAATATTCTATATAAACATATACAAGTTCTTATTTATTTATAAATTCTTTTTATATATTTTTATACAAACATATTGAAAATAAATTTTACTATCAACTATTAATTTGCAACCGATCACTAAATCATGTAAATAATTTGAGAAGCAACAAAAATATTTGAAAATTTGCTATTCAAATATGTTTTTAACTTTTTAAAAATTGCAATTGGCCGATAAGGTGTCCGGCAGGTGTCTTCGAGTTTCCGACACGAAACCTTTTCGAAACGCGGAAACGTTGAGAAGTTGAAGTTTCCGTGCTACACAACTTTGCGGTGTCAAACTTAGTGGAATCTTATAAATATGTGGAACATTCTCCAGTTTGTACCCGTTTTATGCCATTCGAGCTCCACATTTTGAAACAAGATGATCATAAGATGTGTCTCTTGGCTTGTAAATATCAGACTGTGGTGCATCAGAAACTGCATCTATGCATAAAACGATTATAAACTAGTGAACATTCTACAGAATATAGAAAAATTATGTTAAATTTGACACCATACAAGTAATTGTAACTACCAAATATTAAGGTTTTTTCGTAATTTATCCAAAATAAAATAAAAGTAACTACATTTGCTTCACCTGAGGTTATAATACTAGATCCATTGTAGGGTAGAGAGAGAAGGAGAGTTAGATAAAGTTTATTAGCTACATACATACATAAAATTGAGAATAGAGAATCTTTCCATTTTGTGACAACAAACTTCATTCTTCTTAGCAAATCATTAATTAAATACAAAAAATAATAAACTAAGTGCTGTTTATTTAATTTTTAATTTTTTTGCTTGTCTCTGTGCTTTACACAACTTCTCAGTGTTAGGCACCCCATTCCACCCTGGCACCTCTCCCTCCACGTCATCACCTTCTTTCTCTCTCCTCCTCCTCCACCATTTTTCTTCTCTCTTGTTTCTTCCACTTGTACCTGCACCTTTTTTTTATTAGTTTTTTCACACATTCAAGAATCATTAATGCCACATAGATTTGATATGATTGATTATGTGTAACCAAAAATTAAATATAATAAATAAAAAGAAAATGAATAGCTCCCCCAAAAAAAAAGTTGGGACCTTTTTAAGTATGAACAAGTAATAAAAAAGAAGGACAAAGTACGGCCACTTCTGATGTATGGTTAAATTACAAAAAAATTATTATATTTGTGTAATTACTATCAACTCCTTCAATTATGCGTTGTTTTACAAAAACCCTCCTATTTCAGTAGGTAAATTTAACACTGTAAATGTGGACGTGTAAGACAATACAAATTGAAGGGTGATTGCAATTATCCAAACATAAGGTTATTTTTCGTAATTTGATCATACTAAGCTCTGAAGGTAACCGTAATTTGCCCTAAAAATATTTAAAACTTAGATTCTGACAATTATTTATTAGGGATATTTAAAAGTTAACCAATTTTTTTTTTCTGGGGTTGGGGCTAATCTTCAGAAAATCTAATTAGAAGAAATACAGCTAAGATATTGGTCCAGAAAAGAGGTACTTTTGGGCATTGTATAGAGTAAAATACCAAAATAAATAAATAAGAATCTATAATTTTTCCACCAATAAGAAGAGCTTTCAAGATTATTGTGACAAGATAAAAACTGTGACCACATAAAGCACACAACATGTGTTAGGCACATGGTTAAATGGGATCAAATATGAGTCCCCCATTCAGTGGGGGCAGAGTTTCATGATACCTCACTATTAGAGGGGCAAAAAATAATATCTAAATTCTTTAAAAAAATTTATAATAATTAGGATTTTTCGTATAAAAATCAATCGAAAAAACGAGCGTAGTAAAATATTTATACAATTTTTCGAGTAATTCGTTTCGAAGTTTTTTATTGATCTTGAAAGCAAACACTTCAATAACTTATAGCTATATATATATATATATATATATATATATATATATAGCCTTGATCTAATCTCCTGCTGCCTTGTTAGAACTGATGATATGTTAGTTTATTTAATGTTACTGAACTTAAAGTCATTCACTTGGGACCACTTATCCTTAATGCCGGTTTTATTGGGACCAAGAAAATGATGGACTATGATATATTTTTTTAAATTAATTAATTAATTTATTAAATGGGATAAGGAAACAGCAATTTAGTAATTTACCTCTGTGTTTGCAGATTTCAATTTTCCAATGTGATCTCCATTTTCTTGATCACTAATGACTAGCTTTCTTGATTTTTCTTCAATACTAGGACTTAGAATTGTCGAACTAAGATACACCGGTGTGCTTTGAGTTCCCACGTCCCGTGTCGTACTCGTTTTCTTCTCTGCAAAATAAAATCGAGCGATGCAATGATTACACGTCAAAATATCGACTAGATATATATGTATTAAATGAAATAAAAATGGAGTCTTTGAGACCTTTGGAAGTGACTTCGGCTTCGTTTTCGCGCCCGTTGAGTACGGCTGAGGTGGCGGGATTACTTATCATGTGATGAGAAGGATAGATGAGCGGTGCGGACATAGTAATCCTGCTCCGGAACGATCTTTGGCTAAGCGTTTTGGCCGATAAACACTCGAGCGGAACTTCTCCCGATAGTGGATTCGATATGTATTTCTCCGCATCGTTCCATTTCGAGTTGAGTGTCAATCCGTCTTGCGGTGATAAGTAATCCCATGTGTACACTGTTTTCGCCTGTAACGCTGCACACGAAAAGAATAAGGTAACTTTTTTTAGTACAAAAAGATCCATTCTTGAAAATAAAAATCCAATCTTTTTTTCTTTTTAGTTACCTTTGAGGGCAGTGGTGAATGAATATGTAGAAGGGTCAATTTCCTCTGCACAAAAAAATGATATAAGCTTTATGAAAGAGCAAATGTATGTATAATGTATGTATATATATATATACTTTGGGTGTGTAAGTATTACCTTTAAGTGTATAGCCAGGAGAAGAAGCAGTGCTGGAAATAATGGTCATATTATTTGATCTGAAAGACTTTGTATTATCTTCTTCTCTGAAACTCTTCAAATTCGAAGACGAAAATCTCCTCGAATTTCCGGGATTTTCGCGGCCGATTCGGGCCTTGATGGCCCACTCTTTCAAGCTGAAATCGAGCTCGTTTTCCAGATGCCTTCGCGAAGAACCGAAAGAAGATTGCTTCTCCATTGTGTTTGCCATAATAATAATAATAATTATTATTATTATTCAGGTGGAAATTAAAATCAATCTACTTGATTGTCTCTCTATATATATAGATGAAGACACTATTTAATTTGCTGTCAATTATGTTGCTATATAATTTTTATTATTATTATTTTTTAATTTTTGAATGAGAATTGGCAGGAAAAATAAATAAAAAGATTCCTGAGAGCAATTAAGACATGTACATATAAATATTTCCATTGATGACTTTTTTTCTGCTAACATATATTTGGAAACTGGGCCATAGTGATATTGGCATGTACTGATGGGAGGGGAATAAGCTAAATTTTGCATTCCCATATTTAAAAAAAAATTAAAAAATTAAAATTAAAACAAATAAATAAAAAAGAAAAGTTAGGTGCAATCATTAGAAAAGAAAATAAGAGGGTTTTTTTGGCAATATGTTAAACGGTATCTATGATGTAATATTGGGTAGAGTTGTTTTGTATTGGGTTCTTGTGTATGGGGCTATTAATCAATAATTGTGTTCTAACTTTACATACCACCCAACTTTATAGCATTGGACTTAAGCTCGACTCGTATATTATTTCGTGTTCCAGATGGAGATTTATTCAATTTTGGGTCCAAACTGAATTAATCAAGAATACAGCCTATTAACCCGATCTCCACTTGAGGCTACACAACACATTAGGGCCAAACAACACAAAGCTCACGGTGACATGATAACTTTTTCTGATCCTTTGATCTTGATCGTTGACTCTCAATTCTTTTGTTTGGACCACTCATTCGAAGTATTTCAATCCCGCCTCCTTCCCAACTCTAAAATCTGATCTTCTACTCTCTCTCTCTCTCTTCTCTAGCTGTACCACCGCACTGAATTCTCATTGACATCTTCTAGCGACATTAATTTGACTATGATGATGGTTATACTACTCATGCTCTCTATTTTGGAGACATTTTTTACTTTTCCAACTACATAGTAAACCATTCAAAGAGAGAGAGGGGGTAAGACACATACAAATTTGAATCTCCTTCGAAATCTAGATCTCAGTTCTTCCGGGCAAGAGAAATATCCACTTATGAGTGTGAAAAACAAGATAGTGAGTTTAGATATGGTAAGTTGGGATTAGGGTGTGGGAGTTGGCTTAATCTGAGTGACTCTGGTGTGAGAAAAGGGTTCCGGTGAAAAGTGTTTTGTGTGTCGGGTTGTTGGTGCAACCATCATCAGTGAATATATGGACGAGAAGTGACAATACGAAATTGAATGATGTACTTAACATTATGATGTAAGCCCTAATTCCATCTCCCATGTAATCATTCTGTAATAGCATATAATTATTCAATGTAGTGTATGCATGTGTTCAAAATTTATTCAATTAATTCTTGGGCAAATTACGACCACCCTTGAGTTATGGTTAAATTAACAAAAACCCTTTTGTTTGGGTGATTATACATGTCCCTTAATTATATATTATCTTATGAAAAGATCCCTCCAGAGGTAAATTTAGGGACGTTGATTCAGTAAAATCGAACCGAAATTTCAGTCCGCCAAGATTTCATACATTTTACCGAACTAAATATACGATTTGATTCGGTAAATAAGTGAATTACATAAATTTTATGTAAAAATGTTTAAAAAAAGGGGTGGCTATAGTTATCTAAACAAGAGAATTTTTTTTTCGTAATTAGGTCGTACCTTAGGGGTGGCCGTAATTTGCCCTTTATTCTTTCATCATCCCTGCTAAGGGGTATTTTCGTTATTTATTCACTATGTAATTCAGGAGGCTCACAATATACTGATGAAATCACATCAACGCCG